GAGTTTGGCTCGGTCTTCTCTATAAACATCTACTTGGAAGTTGAAGACGATGAGTTCCTCTTTCAACCTATTCCTCTTAAGGTTGAATGAACCCAACTCTCAGCTTCTCCTCATATGTCATGTGTCTCTAATCATCTTGGTGATCCTCCTCTAGACTTCTTCTAGTAGGTCCACATCTCATCCTGGTGAGTCTCAATCTGGAAACGCCACTACAGATGTCTTAGAACTGCAGAACCCTTTAAGACATGAATGCTCTTTTCAGTAACAAATGTCAGATACCAAATATTGGTGCTCTTTCTGTAATGAATCACACTGAGAACTAAGTTCTAACAATTTCCTGAAAGATCTGCTTTTGTTTTGTTAATTAGACAAAAGTATGAGAAATAAAACTGATACATACTTCATTATCCCGATCCTTCTCCAGGAAGTGACGGGCAACGTGACTGGGTAAAATATTCCGCAGCATATTTTCATTGTGCTCCCTTAACTCCTTCATTTCATTGATTTCTTCTTTTGCTTGAACACGCCACAGAAAATCCAGTCTTGCTGTATATTCAAGCTGTATTTCCAGAAAGAAAAAAAGGCAAAAATAAAACCTGACAAGATAAGAGTAGATATTTATTGTCAACCTGGCAGGCTGCTCCTCCCATGTAACTGCCTTCAGTGCTGCTGAAGATCTCTCATTCTGAAAGAATTTGATTTCATTGCCAGAAAAAAAGATTATTTCTTTGCCTTGATGTGGTGCCTCAGAGGCATCTTGGGGAAAGTAAAGTTTGTCATATTACTGCTATGGTCAGTAGCTAGAAAATGTCACAAAATTATTTTCTTTTTAAACACCTCTCTAAGTCAGACAGGAAATAAGCTATTGGAAGCTATTGGTATGAAATAGGTATGTTCCCCTTTTATGTGTTCTCAAATTAAATGGGGTTCATGAGAATATAGAACAAAGGTCATTTTAAACACTTTACAGACAGCTAGTTTACTTCTCAAGGATGACTATCTTTCAACAAAACTATATGTAACAGCCCAACATTCTTCCAAACGGGACTGTCAAATCTATGGCACCAAAATGAGGAATTTCTACTGTTGGGACATGCAGATATTTGCAGTTTAAGCCTTTTGAAAGACAGTGAAAGACATACTATTTTATACCCCCTCAAATACTCTGCCCCTGATGTATTGTGGATCCAGAGTCTGCAGTCACAGTTTAGTATGTGCACAGTGGCAGTGCCTGGTATCCCAGCTACAAACCAAAGTTAAATGATTTTCAGTGCTGTATGTGTACCAAACAAAAGTAAGATTCCTGCACAGCACAGCTCATCTATGCATGTACATATGTATCGTGTATTTATATAGATAGATATGTATAAATGTATATTCATATATACATAAATGGCACCTGTCTGTGAGCTGAAGCAGGGAACGAGTCGAAACATCATGTTGTTTGCCTGAGAGGCATGTGGGTCAACACATGCCAAGACCAACACTGACAGACCTTTTGGGAGCATTACACTGACAGAGAGTTTTCATCAGATTTTAAGACCGGTGATGAAAAATGATGGAAATATATCTGTTTGCAGTAAACTGAAAGACAAAATATCTTGTGAGTCTTGAGATGCTCTAACCAGAGATAATAATCAGAGACCCAGCAGAGAATTGTATTATTCCAGCAAATAAATGCATTTTACACTTGGGAGAGACATCAAATGGTTTGCAAGAAGGTGTTGGGATTAAGGAAACAGTTGGAGTATAACTCACCTGCCAAGCTGAAATAAAGGGCAAACCTGCAATGGGTGGGAGTGACTAAGAGGGGCTTCACACATTGTTTAGTGACTTATATTTTTCAGATTTTTCTTCAGCAGCAGTGACCAATGTCAAACTCTAGAAGAAGAAATTGTAAAGCACCTTGCAAGGGCGCTTAGAGGTTGACTGTGTCCAGGGAGCTTTCTTTACAAAAACCTTAAAGTGAGCCTGGCTCGATATAAACTTCCAAAGCTTGTGTGCATTTTAACAGTGATTTGCTTGCGCTTTGGATGTAATTGCAACCTTTGTAAACAGTTAATTATATTCTAGTTCTAATATTTTGATCTTCCATCTTGTGACTGCTAATTCCTTAAATTAATTGCACAAAAAAAATCCAAAACAACCCACAACTGTCAAGAAAAAGTATGTTTAAATAATTTTTTCAGCCTTTTCCTTTCCCTATTGTTTTTGTGCTAGAAGACTGAGCACATACTACATCATAACAGACTTTTATCTCTACCAGCTGACTGAGAAGGCAACACTGACTATAATTTTGTAATGAGTTCTAAAGGTATTTATAGATTGTCTTGGAGCAGGTAGATTCTGAGTTCTTTGATCCTTCAGATATTGAATGCCACTACAATAAGAGCTTTGCAAAAACTGTAGGACAGTTTTTAAGAGCTGATTTTTTAATGCTGCTCTACAGGAAAATTTTATATCTCTACCTAACTCAGAATAGCAGCAACTAATCTTCACATTTTAGATAACGTCATTTTGGTTATTTATAATTACATTGTAACATGAAATACTTTTCTTGCATCATTAGTGGAGAGCTGAGATGACACTGTCAGTTCTGAAATAAAAGGGTGTGTGACATATGAGGTTTGAAAATAGGAATTTTTAAGAAGATGCTTTGCTAAGTTCTGATATTTTTTAAAGATAAAAAAATTATAGGGTTGAGTTTTGGGTTTATTTTTGATTGTGTAAAGAAATATTCCTGGCCACAGTGGTTCCAATAAAAATGACTGTCTGCGACATAAATCTTGAAATGTCCGTGTTTTCTTGCCCTAATATGTAGCTCTACGAAAAACTCCTAATTCCAATAGTGGGTGAAGAAAACAGAGATGTAGCACACAGAAAGCCTAACACTACCTATGTCTTCTAAATCCAATCTCTCTGCAATTGCCGCATGCAAGGAAAGCACAATGTAAGTATCAGTGTTTGAGGGGCACAATATTCTTTAGAGAATGAGAAAAGACGACTTAGATTCCAAAGGGACTTTTTCAAACACCTAAACCAGCCTAACTCCAGACAAAACAAGCAATATTCTTTCTTCACTACACTGCAACCTGAATATAGAAAGGATAATAACGAAGCCTGAAGCATCATAACAGAATTAGGTATGTCTCCTCTTTTTCCTCTTTCAATTAGAACAATCTCATCTTTGCATTTTCTCATCCCTCCCCTTTTTCGCCAACATGAAGAAGGTTCAGGGGTCATGCTTGTTGCAGATAAATTGCTGTGTAGGGATTTCAGTACATCCTTTATTTCCACAAGGGTCTGTAGAGCTAAGCTACAGCCCTGCCATCCAGAGGTTATTAGGTACACAGCTGGCTGTGCCTGCCCTGTCAAAGTTCAAGTTTTCCTTTCTACCAAAGAGCCCCAGAAGCACAGGAGCAAACCAGTCAGTTTAAGTCTAGCCTCAGAATTATCCACAACACTTCTGTCACAGTTTTTCTCAAGTTTAGTTTGCAGAAACACTCCTGCAAAATATGTATTACTCATGTTAAAAAGATGTGCTTCTAGATTAAATTGAGCTTGTAATAGGGTATTATTCTGTTTAGCCTGATGTCATGTAACAGTAACACAACTACTTTCAATTATGGGTTTAGCACTAGAAACCCTTGAGATTTATTGGCTGAAGTACAGGTAAGATTTTAAGAAAGCCCTGAGTCTGATAAGACAGTCTCACACAACTTTTTCTTGAATTTAACTTAGATTCTGGGTGCAAAAGTGAGGATTATCCTTAAGTCACAAAGGATAAAGAGCAGTAGTTAGTTGTTCAGAAATTAAAAGTTCATAAGCTTGATCTTATAAATACAATCTTTTTTGTAAAACCATCTAGAATGAGGTAAGTAGATACTCTACTTCAGCATAATTTTGCAGTTTGTAACAAGCAGAGCTGTGTTGAATAATTTTTTTTAATGTGTTCTGGACAAAACTTTTATATGTATTTTAAATTTGTATTTATATATAAATCTTCAGGTTAACTGTGTAGTAAGAAATTAAACAATACAAAGAAACATTCCCGGGCACTGCCCTTGGATACTGTTAAATTGTTGGCTCTATGAATTGTTTGGAAGAACATGCAGGAGTTGTTAGCACATCTCAGGGACCATTTCCAAGCGTAGTTTGAGGGCAGCCACCCTGTTCTATGGAACAAGGAAGATTAATAGGATGGAAAAAGACTGTGCTGTGCTAATAGGCCTCTGGGCAGGAAAATACTCTTAAAGACCCCAGATTAGACTTCTGTGGCAGACATTTACACTCAGAATTATGATCCTGAAGATCATTGCCTCGATTCTGCCTAGTCCTTGCTCTATTTGAACTCCTTTAGTGTTTTCTTACTTACTCTGTATATAGGTGATTCCCAACAAGATTTGTATCTTTGCATATGTCAGGAATCACTGGGAATGTTATAAAGCTTATTACAAACTTGGGATGTTCAGTTCTTATTTGTTGCATGTTTTTCCTCTCTTAATGCCTCACTCAAATTAGGATCAATAATTGTTAGTATTAATCAGCCTAATGCTCTTGAAGCAAAAATATTTAAGCAAGTTGGACATGCAGGACAATGTTTAAGGCAATTGTGATTGCTGCTTCCTTTAATGCAGTGGTCCTGTTTGCCTTTATGTGACCAGAAACTGGCAGAAGTCAGCATGTTTGACAAGCAGCAGCCTAGAGGTTGCCAACCTGAATTGCTGTGGAGAAAACACACTGTATGGCCACTCTGTATGGATTTTTGCAAATCCTGTTTTCTCAGTTCCTTCTTGAGGTTATCAATCCTGAAACCCCTAAATCCCAGTTATGATCTAGATCCATGTGAAAGAATATTTGTAAGTGGTCCATGACCCACAAATAAGTGTTGATGCTTAACCACAAATTTCCTTATGTCTTCAAATCTGGTGTTTTTCCTCCATGAACATACTAAGCTATATCACAGGAGTTTTATTATTTACTGTTTGTTATTCCTTTTCTTCCTTTTGGTTTTATGCCAAGTACACTGAAGCAGTCAGATGTCAATGGAATTGCACATGTACCTAAGATAAATGAAGTCCTGTTTGCTCCTTCAATTTCTATCAGAAAACGCATTATAATTTGTATATTGCTGAATATAATATTGCACATGTTCTTTAAGAATGCTAGGCAGTGTCAGATGTGGGATTTCTCTAATCAGATTCTGCATATGGTTTATTAAATTGTTAAAGGTCATATGCTCAAGTAGATAAAAAGGCAGTTGGTATTTTGAAAGCAATTATTGTCACATCCTGCAATTTCAACTGATACAGGGAATGGTTAAAGCAAATGTTTGCATTACCTGTTGACCATGATAAAATACAGCTAAAAGGAACATTGCCATCAGTAGTAAAGATGCCTCCTTTGTACCCAGGAAGTCTGTGCTGGAAAAAAAATCCAAAGTAAAATAGAGTTATTGATTTGTCAGTGCTGTAATTGTTCAGGATTTTCATTTCATAATGCACCCTAGTACATTTTGTTGCTCTTTAAAAATTCTCCTGTATTTGAAAATTTAACTTGAAAATAATTAAGAGAACAGGAGTGTAATTAAAGAGCTCACCATTTGGAGGCAAATGTATTAAATAAGTAAATGTAGCCTACAGTAGGTACACAGAAGATGATGATCTTTCTCTTTCAAATGTGATATGCAAGATGTGTGTCAGTCATTCTCTTTTCCTGAGACCTCGGTAAACATCTATAAACATCACAGCTCCTGTGGAGCTCCTGTGGGTGGGGAAAAGTTTAGGATGGAGCTGGGAAAGGGAAATTTCCAGATTGTCAAAATAAAACCCACTGAATGGGCCTAGAGATAAAAGATGGAGCCCAAGACAGTTGCTGAAAGTTAACCATCCCACTATGGTGAGAACGGTTCAGAGAAGATGGCAGGTTAGTTAAGAAAGGAGGTGTAGATCAGAGGGGAATAAAAAAATGGCAAACAGGAATTAGGACTGGTATTACTGACCCACAGAGGAGAGCAGAGAAGAAATGTCTGCCTGTGACAGGGGAAGTAAGGAAACTCTTGCAGGGAAGCAATGATAATGAACCAAGTAGGTACTGTGTGTATGAAATCTGCTGTATGACATCTCTGAGTTGTTGTGTGTGGAGCATGACGGAAGTGTGACTAAATAAGGTGAAAAGGGTCCAGAGCAACTAAAGTGGGTTTCAAATGTGAGGAGAAATTATAGTTATGTGGGAAGGTGACAAAACTGAAGAACGTAAGTATCAGAGAGGTTTAAAAAAAATGTTTCTCAGGGGAAAAGACATAAATGAAGAGGTGGGGGAAACAAAAAGGGCCAATCTTACAGTAAAACAAAAGGGAGAAAGAATTAAATTTGGAGGTGAATTGAAAATAGACACTTGGCAATTATTTTGTTGGAGAGATGAAGAAAGATAAGAAAGTGGTTAAGAGGTGCTTAAAGCTTGAAGTTGAGACAAAAGCTAATAAAGGAATAAATGAGGAGTGGAAGTTGGAAGAGACTTTGGGAAACTCTTCTGTCTACCTTGAAATCTAAGAATAAAGCAAAGTCCAGACCCTGAATCCATTTTCCACAGGAATTTTGAAAGATCAGGTGATACTCATCAGAGAAGGACTCCTATGACAGAGAAATTAGAGAGAGAGAGAACAGCTTGATGGAGTCTAAATCAAAAGGAAACTTTCTTGTTAGAAAGATAACTGAACTGACTTTCTGGGCCTAATGAAGAATTTGTTGTGAGGAAACGTATCACTATGGGATGAGTGTAAGTATAGAGCAAAAGACAGGCAAGAAACATCTGGAAATATTTTGGAATTCAAATGTTTGCCATTTTGAACTTGTCTGAAACACAACCTCCCAAATTTTCATTCCAGAAGGACTCCTTGCGCACTGGTTAAGGGCAACAGCCTCAAAGGTCTTAGTTATGAACTCATCTGTTACTGCATATTGTGGTAACACAGATATAGCGACAAATATATGAGCTAGATGAGTTTCACAGGGAGTTGGAAAACCTTTAATCAACTGATTGGTATATCTATGAAAACAAGTTTCTGGGCACACAGCCTTGAACCTCATGCTCCCTAATGTCAGAGCTGAAGTTCAGGTCCTTGTCCTGAGTGTGGAGCATCTCAGATGAGTTCCCTATGTCCTGGGCTATGGGGTACTCTAGAAGATACTCCTGGCTCGCTCTTATTCTTCTGTGATTAAAGTCACTGGAGTTCAATTGTCACAGGGAATAGAATCTACTCTGAATTCTCTAAGATTTTCACGAGCGAGAATCTTCCTTTGACATGCTTGATTAGTGACAAAAATTAAAGACAATGATCGTGATTTCTACTTCTAGTTACTTAGCCAAAGTATTGCTGACATTTGTCATATTTGTTGGGCTCTTCTGTGAATATGCTCTACGTCATATAATTAGTCTGCAAGAACATAACTATCATTAGAAAAAGCAATTGCATCCCAAATCTTTAGTACCTTGCTATGGTAGAAAGCTAGCAAGGAAAGATATGTGTGCTGACCCTTACTATGTGTTAAAATAAGACTGTTGTAAAAAATAATTACACTGCAAATACATGCTTTTCTGTCATTCTGAGGTTCTTCATCTGGCATGCACTTACGAAAACAAGCAACTGCAATACTAAATTGGTCAGCTATCAAAGACTGAAGAAGAGCTTTTTCTGAATGAGCTATATCACTTCTGCCCTAGATTGAGTTTTTGCAACACTTGGTGCATCCCTGACTCTGCAAATTACTATGGCTTCTTTTATCCTTGTCTTCAACTCCTCTTACTGGGAAGGGGCGTGTGTCCTTCAAGTGTCCTCTTACAAAATGGGATCATCCCTGTATTCCTTATATGTTTCAGAACTACACATTATCTTTTGAAATTTATGCAGTTAAATCCCTGTCCCTAAAAATCGATTGTTCACTCCTGTTTTCTTAAATTGAAGTAAGAGTTTCAATCAGTATCTCTGGAGTTTTCAATAACTGAAACAACCAATGTGTAGGCACTGTAATGCATATTATTAGGAACTATGAATAAACTATGGGAGGCTTAAGAGAGAAACCCTGCTTTGTATTTAAGTGTCCTCATGAAATGAACATTTTAATAAAAAGGCCTGAGAAAAAAAATCACATTATTTACCTTTTTCATTAGTCATTGCGCCTTGCAAACATCAGTCCATAATTAACTATGGTGTTATCCAATACACTTACACTTTGTCAGGACTCAATCCATTACCTTATTAAAAGCAGTTCCTAAAGGGGGCTGGGAACACTTACTCTCCATTGTGGTTAAAGCTGTCATATTGCAGAAAAAGGGAAGCATAGATGGTCTCTGTCAGCAGAGAATAGATTGCAATCATGATGAGAAGTACTGCCAGCTTCAGGACAGAGTTGAGACGAAGAAAGACTGCACAAGTCACCATTGCCAGCACACCAGTGAAGACAAAATACTGAACAGAAAACAGCAGTTGTTACTTTTGGTGATCAGTGACTACATATTCACACCTTAAATAGCTACATAAATGATCAAGTGATCAGAACTATAAAAAAATTGTGGTGGATTTCAGCGCTCATCTAAGCTTTCTTAGGATACAGGACACTTTGAACACAAGGGTTTTGCTAGAATAGAATGTGAAATTAAAAATTTTCTGCATGGTTCCTCCATGGCAGCAGAAATCCTTCTTTGAGCCTTTATGGCATATCATTGTATTATAAGGTAAAGAGAATCCTACATATTGGAAAGAGGAAAGGAAGAGATGCTGCATGCAGTAGTTTTTTAATGAAAAGTTAAATAAGAGAAAATAATTTATATTTCTTTGGATTCTGAACTTCCACAGGACCCATATCAATCAGGATGGAAGAATCATATATGTGCCTTAATCTTTATCCCATGCTACTTGAAGAGAGGATAAAGCCACAGGTTTGGGTTGTTTGATTTTTTTTTTTGTTTTGTTTGTTTGTTTTTGGTTTTTTTTTTTTTAATACTGTCAGGTCCATCTTAGTTGCATTACTATCTTAATATGTGATGCTTAGAAGTTTTATTCATATCTCATTTTCCATCTCTTCATTGTCTTATATTTCTTAATGATTAGTCATCTGTCAAATGCAATCCATGCAGCTAATACTGGATATAGAGAGAAAATCATGGCCATGAACCATTCAGATTTAAAATAGCAACACAGTCCAAAATGTAGTTTAAATTAACTCCTAACATACAGCTTTAGGAGAGATAGCATTCATTTTTCTGAGTACAGTTTTTCTATAGTACAATTCCTGTGTGGGAAAGTCTACATCCCTGCAATTTGTGGCATAGTGCTGGCAGTATCATGACACTGCCATATAGCTTTCTAAGAAACATGCTTTTTGTCTACACATGATTAACCCATTGATTTTTTTGCCTGCTTGCTCATCATAGAGAGGATTTTTTTCTCCAAATGTAAATTTACTTTTTCACATTGCAGCAGAATGACTGCTGGGTTTACACTGTAAGAAATATTAATCTCCACTAGCTTCATATAAATTGTGTGTTTTATTGTGGTAGGTTCATTGAATCACTGCTGGATGTGTTTCCACCATAAAGGTTCTGTATTAAGTTCAAAGGTTGAAACATGGTTGTAATGCCCCATTAGACTGTAAGATTAGTTCGTTCTGTAACCCGCCTCTGCTTTTTCTATCAGCATATGGATAGATGCAAAGTTTCATCTTCATAGTGTTGTTGAGGCACCTGACTCCACCACCAGAACACAGGTCATTGGCTGCTAGTAGTGGTTGCCGTGTAGCCTTTCTGGATCTGTGCATCAGATTCAAAAGTACCCTCAGAAATACCTCAGGATAGGAACAGATGTCCGTAAAAGATGCAGATGAATTGAATGTCTGGTTCTTCAGGGCTATTGGTTTGTCAAAATCACACCATAGCTGTGAAGAAAGAAAACAAAATCAGGGCTGTGTTGTGCACTGGTGGCTAATCACAGAATCATAGAACCATTTGGGTTGGAAGGGACCGTAAAGATCATCTAGTTCCAACCCCCCTGCCATGGGCAGGGATTAATGCTTATGGGGCTGTCTGGCTGGGTTTGGGGATGGAACTGGCTGACCTGCTGCTCTCAATGTCAGCTCCTTGACTGGCACCAAGGACTAAATGGACAGTAAGAAGACATACTGTGGAGATGAAAGTGAAAGGGGAGAGCTATTCATGCTGCAGACATTCACCATTTGATAGCCTTCCAATGTTTTCTTGTTGCCAAAAGGAAAAGATTAGCTCTGAGTTTCAGAGGACTGATGTTGGACTCTTAGAATTACTCTCTCAAGATGTTTATGTTTTGCTATAAACCATAGAGAAAATTGTTAAATTTGGAGCATAAAAATGTTCCCCCATATGGCATATGTGGTTTTATCTGCAAGCAGTTTTTTTCTGCTATGTTGTTACGGACAGGGTTATCCTTCTACATGTGGGACAAAATGCCACGGTGTCACACAGAATTGGCTTGTGCCAAAGCCTAGTGTGCACCCAGAATTATAACTGTGATGCCTAGAATAGAAGGGAATAAAAGTTCATTCATGGTACAATAGTTTCTAGAATGTAATATGGCCTTTTGCTATTATGACCTGTATTCATTTTACTGGTATTTCAAACCAACTGTATTAAGTATAAACAAAATAGCCGTGTTGAGTTGCAATACATCATGGCCTTAGAACACAGGAAAAAAATCGTTAATGGTTTCATATTTTGACAGTTAAAGCAGATGGAGTCTCCCATTACACATATTAATACAATCTGGATGTTTATACTCGGTCATTTCATCAACCTGGTATGTGCAATCTAGTTCCCCTGTCTTTCTTTCCAACAGAGTTAGAGAGTTTGTTTAATGAAGCCCAATTTTTATAATTAAATTCTAATGAATTTTGAACTTGGAACTCTCTTGTTTGTTCTTTCAACAATTCAGTCATCTCTGCAATGCAGCAACATTTTCTAGGTCGTCTGTGCAGTCCTCCATGACAGCAGATAGTTAATGGTACCTTCTGCAAGTTTATGAGGTGTACAGCACTTCTCTGCAGGGCAGAGTAACCGCTCTGGGTGTTGTTTTAAAAGACCTTCGGGATGAAAAACATCATTCTAATTTTGTAACAGTAAGAATGCACCTGATGTAAAGAACCACAAGACTCATTTGCCCCCCTGGTGAAACCAAAGCCTTACAGCTCTTGTTAGAAAGCATCTCAGTCTTACTGCCTTCCAACTGAGTGCATTTGAATTCAGTGGTCACATATATCTCAAGGGTGAGATGCACTACCTCTTCTTAAATACATGCACATCCCTCCTGAGTGCTACAGTCCGCTTTATGGACCCCCACTGGCTCCTGTGGTACTTACTTAATGAAAGACACATCTGTTTTTTAGTGGGATACAGGAAGTAGTTAAAAGAAAACTATTATTATGACAGGATTTTGACATATGAAATAATGAGGTTGTATGTGGTTTCCTGTAGAGGTCAGGACTTGGTGACTCAAGTCACAGCCATTTTAAATATATGACAATAAATGTAAGAGTTTACTGCCATTTAGAAGCCCATTGGTATGAGAGTAAAAAGAATTATATTTCTTCTGACTGCTTTTGGGTTAGCCATCCCACAAAATTGCAATGGACATAATCTTAAAAAATTATCTGCAAGAAGTCAGGGGGATATCTCATTATTATCATATCCATAGCAAATTGAGTATGGACAGCCCTTTAGGGGTCATTTTGTTTCAAGAGCAAGATTAATTCTACTAAAATCTTTCCTGACAAATATTTGTCAAACATAATTTAAAAAGCTCTAAATTTTACATTCTCAGCAATCTATACTATAATGTACCAATGTCCTTATCTTCAGGAAGTTTTCAGCCCTATTTAACATCCTGTCATTTATTGTGTTTTTATGTTCTCTGTAAGGATAGCAATCACTGGCTACATTCTTCTTCCTTCAACTATCTCTCCTATCAGAGACTGAATGGAATCACTAAAAAAACCAAGACAGACACTGAGTCCTAGCATATTTGCAACCTGAATGCAATCATGGAAGAATGACAGCCATAGAATGTAATAAAATTTCATATCTGTTAGCAAAAGATTAAGGAAAACCATGAAGTATCAGATATCAGCACACTTACCGCAGTCATCATGATTATTAATAATTTTCAATATTACATATTACAATAACAATCAAATCATTATTAGTTATTACAGGATAATTATTGATGTGCCTTTATAGTTGCTATTGTTATTACTGTCACTGAATGTTTTCTTGTTCTCAACCAGAAAGAAATAAATGTTTACAAAGAATAAAGTTCAGATGAAAAACACTGCTATATCCATACCCAAAAGGTGCCTTACAAGAGGAAAGAATGATGAAAATGTTAATATATCAGTGAGGTATTTACCTTCTTGGCTCGGATTTCAACACCTGCCAGGTTGTCTGACGTGATAATCTGCCTAATTCATGCAAAGTTGTCTCATATTTCTGAAGACATCCAGGTAATCAGGCGTCTACTGTATTTGTTTTATACAAATCTTACAAGGACCCCACTCTTTTACCTTGTGCCATTGTAGAGAGTCAGACCCACACTATTTGATTACTGATGTTTCTGTCTAATTACAGCTGCCAAGCGAAGCTTGATACATGACTTTCTCACTCATATATATATCGGATATATGACATAGGTATACTGATGATACAGTGATATATAATGGTATATATCAAATGTACTGATAAATATTGCTCTATATTCATCACACTTTTGGGTCTTGGTGGAGATGTGTTTAATAGGCACCCAATTGGACTAAAAATCCCTGCATGGGCAGTAGAGAGAAGATCATTGCTTTATTTGGACCAGTATGACCGAAAGAAATCTTAGAATATCTTACATTTTCTGGTAACTACTAAAAAGAAAGCTCAGAGTTTCTGTGCCTATAGTGTGGTACTTCAACTAAGGTAAATGCAGGCCAAAGGGTTTTTCAAACCACTAAATGAGTAAGGCAAGGTATGTTTAGAATTTATGCTTTTTAAGTTCTTTTCACATGCTGTTTATTGGCTCAGCTTGACCTTCTCAGTACTTTCTTTGAAGGTATTTTCTGGGTTCATTGACATTTTTCTTTTTTATAGTAATCTAATTAATGGGAGAACTGTGAGATGAGGAACCTAATATCTGTAAGCATTACTTGTATTGACAGTCTTTAAGAAAGTATATCAGCATGTCAGAAAATTAAAAATGGTCCTCAAATGGTAGATATTTTGAAGAGAAAGTAGAAAAAGGGTTTTAAAAATAGATGTTACTCATGAGGGAGAAATAATTAGATATTTCAGAAATACATAATTTAAGCAACAGATTGAATTTCCTGAAGCTGTTTGTACGTTGCTTTTTATATTTAAAACATAGCTGGCTTATAAACACATTAGTTAGCAAGTCCTGTAGCAAGCTCAATAATTCATAAGTCATCTTTGCTTGTGTAATATTCCCTGGTTGCCTATAAGCTTACAATATTGATGATGGCTCCAAGAAAATTAATCAGAATAGATGCAAATATAATGACATTCCTGGCCAGGTAGGTCTCATTAATCCAGCAGCAAGTTTTCCGGAGCATTAAAGGTAAACATTTGTAATCCTCTGCTGTAGTAATTAGCACAAGAGCGGAGTGCAGCATAATCAGAATAGAAAACTGAATGACCATTGGTATCACCCTGGGAAGAAAAAAGAAGATAACCCAGCATTAATCCTCAGCACAGTAACACATAATAAAAATAAATGTGTAAACTGTTAAGACTAGGAAAAATCAGTTGTCAGAAATCTAACAAAAGTAGTCTGGGAAAAAAACCCAGAAAGAACAAAGATTTGTTCATGTTCCATAGATCTGCCATTGCTTCACATGGTTTCTGGCTGAGAAACTGATGTTGAAGAAAAAAGCCAGAGAAATCACTGCCAGTGCCTCTGAATAGACCTCTAAATAGACGGATGTCTATTTAGTTTGAGTGGCAGGAATGTTTGGGATTTTGGGACTCAGTTGGCCCTTAAGTTTCTTTCAGAGCAAATCTATTCAGCCTGTAGGATCCTGATGCCACTTATGTATGAGCTGTTTCCCACTCTAGTAGCCTGGTTTGGATCTACTGTTTCATGGAAGCCCTTTGAAATATGAAGCAGCTGAAAAGGTGTTCCATGATCCAAATGTGTTTAAATAAAACATGTCTTTTGTCATATCCAATAATGTTTGCTCTTCTAAATGTGATCCTTAATCAACTATTATTATGTGTGTACACAGGATAAACAGTTAAATTCCTTTGGAAAAATAAAAATTATTCTAGTCCAACTTTCATGATATTTTTCTAAATTTATTCAATTTTCTTGATTAAATCTGGGACCTGCAGTCAATTAAGTAACCAATGTGGTTGGGAAATGCAGTAAATTGTTTTACTTTGCTGAGAAGAAAACATTCAGCAGTTCCCAAGTCAAGATTTTGTCCCCATTTGTGCCAGCCATTGTCCTCCTGTGTCTCTCTTTCTAAAGATCAAACCCATGCAAAATAAAAGCAACTTTGCTGCTCCTGCAAACCTCTCTCCTCTCTGCTCTGCTTTCCCATTGTTTTTTGCTATAAGAAGTTTGAACTTAAAGCTTTGAATTAAGTAATTCAAATTTCTAATAACCTAGTTCTATGCGTGCTAGTACACTGCAATGTGATTTAATCATAATGTCTCAAAGAAAATAAATCTTTGAAAGTGGACTACCAGGGTGCTCCAAGGATATTTCTGCACTTTCAGGTGCCTGAATGTAGGTAAACTGATCATTAAGACTTCGGTAAACATATGTGTTTTTTCATTGAAAACAGGAAGTTTCAGATTTTGCTGCACATCACTTATCACTCTTTTTGGTTAGGGTGCAATGCCATTTGTACACTTGTACTCTATGGCAAGTCAAGTTTAAGGATGTAAAGTGGAAATAGAAGTGAAAACAACATGGTTTTTCATTTTCATTTTTCAGCAAGTCAGCCTGATCCACTCCCTGAGTCTGAATGGACTACATCTTACCGTATGTGAAATTCTCCTCAGTTTCAGGATATTCAAATTTGGCTTTAGAAGAGCAAATTCTAAACTCACACAGATCAGAATTCAAGTATGTGGTTTCAGCTTCTTAATTAATTTTTTCCTCCTTTGAAGGATCAGGACAAAATAACATGAATTTATTCCAAACTTTCTTGTCTATCAACTACCAAATCAAGCTAACACAGAAGTATGATCAAGTTATAAGATCTTGAAACCAGCATGAAAGTCTCAGAATATTTTGCAGTAATGCAGCTGTGGCCTATATGTCTGAAAATGTCTGAGTTGCTATAAGATATATATGCATAAGACAGGTTTGTTTTGGTGGTGGGGTTTTTGTTTTTTCTTTTTTTTTTAGTACCAAATTTTATTGCAAAATTTTTTGAAATAAAATGTGAAAAAATATCAAAATGGAAATTCTGTTCCCTAATGAACTGAAATAAGATGAATTATGCATTAACCTTCTTTAAGAGTACCCATGTGGTAATATCAGCTTTGACACTGTTCTGATGATGTACGATAGGTATGAAATGTTATCTTACATTTGGGTCAGCATTTCACTCCAACAAACTTTGTCAGTTTTGTGTGACTTGAATATAGGACACAGTGAAGATGCCCAAAAAAGTCCCATCCTCTCCAGCGACCTCATCCAGGAATAAAGCTTGCTCTTGAAAGGAAGAACAATGTAGCCAGTAAAACCAAACTGTATTATGAAAGGAAGAGTGAATAATGAGGAAACAAAGGCTGGAGTTGGAGTCACGGATTTCATCCTGTGTGACTACAAGTTTTGTGGGAAGAGTCTCAGGACTTGCTGAAAGTCCTAAGGCTACCAAGTAGACACACTATGTAATGATGCCTTGAGAGCAGTTTCTGTCTGTGAAAATACACAGTCAATAAAGCCACGGAAACGCTGCAAAACATGTCCATGGAGATTGAGTCAAGACGGCTCATCTGGAGAGCTGTGTAATTTAGGATACGATTCATCTCACTGCACGGTAGTCTCTTAGATTTCTTCAGATCCACTGATTGGCCTATTCTCCAATGCCTATACTTTGAACTCAGGGAATAGACACTGACAGATAGTTATGTGAGATGAATTCCTTGTTTCCCTCACTACAGCAGGATTCTGCAATAGCCTTCTTGCTTTCCAAAGCCAAATGACTGAGATCCTCTTTGTAACTGAGAGTTTCTATCTATATCTCAGATATATATAGGCAGTCTATATGCAGGTGTAGTCTATCAATTCTGCAAACCCAGCCTGACCCAGCTCTAAATGAAAGTAAATTAAGTCTTTAAAAAGGATTAGGGTCAAACCTCAAGAGGTCAGGCCTGAGGACACTAAACATGAGTTCTTATTTTGGACTGCCAAATTAAGGTACTATAAAGTAGCATTTAGGGAACTAAGTCTGGGATATCAATCCAAAATGCAGCATACTGAAAAACCATGGCATTTTATTCATTCATAATAAACATATACAAAAGGAAAATTCTTCCTCTGTAGCTGTTCATTTGAATATTGATTTGTCCCTTTTCTAAGACTACTTGAGATAAAGTACTATGACCTCCTAGAGGATCAATCCAGTATCTGTGCTAAGATTTTTTTGGCAGCATGCTGATAGGATCAAGTACAGCAGAAGACATAGTCAAGGTTAGAGAAATAGGGACAAACAGCCATAATACTCCCTTGTCCATGAATTTCTCCCAGAACAGGGACACCTGCATTGGATCCTCTCTTCATTCAAATAGAGATCCAAGATGAGATGCTTTTATTTCTGGGGGTTCACTTACTGTCAAGATCAAGTGAAATTTGAAATTGAGCTTTTGCTTTCCCTATTTCTTCTGTACAGTTGCAAACCAAAAGCTGAGCCAGAAGGAAAACTTATGTAAAGCAGAAGACACAGATGTTTAAATGAACAACATCTTGAAACCTGTTTTTCTCCCCTCACAAGAATTACCCAGTGAAAAACTGACAAAAATAATAGTTCAGCAGTCTACTCTAGTATGATCTATTGCCTATGTGAGCTTATAGAAAGTTCATTGCAGGAAATTAATCAAACCCCTAAGCTTCTCGGAGAAGATAAATCACTGCAAGGTTGGCAATGTAACTTAATGGATTCATAGAGGATAATTACAGCAGAAATATAACATTAATTTATGTCACTTAGAGTAATTTCCCCAACTCAATATTTTAAAGAATGAAAACTGTTGTAAAGATTTTTAAATTCGGTGATGTATCTGTCTTGTCAGGGGAAAGTATGAATGGATCAAGTATTTATTCTGTGGGAGACAGCTATAAACTGAGATAAAATCCTAAAACTCCCATACACAGTAGTAGATGATGCAATATTAGAAAGATTATTGCCTTCTTTAACCTACAGACTAAGGTAGCCTATTTGGGAAACTCCCTCAAGATCCTTAGTAAGACATGTTTTACAATGAATTAAATAATCATAGAATCACAGAATTGTTTGGGTTTAAAGGGACCTTGAAGACCATCTAGTTCCAACCCCTCTGCCATGGGCAGGGACACCTTCCACTAGACCAGGTTGCTCAAAGACTCATCAAGCCTGGCCTTGAACACTTCCTGGGAGGGAACATCCACAGCTTCTCTAGCCAAACTCTTCCAGTGTCTCATCACCCTCTTCATGAAGAATTTCTTCCTTACATCCAATCTAAATCTACCCTGATTCAGTTTAAAGCTATCACCCCATGTCCTATCACTACATGCCCTTGTAGAAAGTCAGTCTCCAGCTTTAGAAGAAAGTCAGTTCCTCTTTAGGTACTGGAAGGCTAAAGAAATCTGCATAAGTCTCATCTCAGAAAAATATTGAAACATGTACTTAAGCAAATACAAAATTCCATCCTTGTTCAACTGAGCTCTGAAGCGTTTATTGGAAGACACTTAAATGAGTCGTTAGGAAATGTGTAAGTTACCATGAGGAGTGTGAATTAAGATTTGCTAGTTGTTCCATGCGAATACTGTTCATGCTCTTCCATTGTGGTAGTTTATCACTCTGACATCTACTAGAGGTACAACAGATGAGCATGCCCTTACCTCCAAGATCCTCTGAATCCAAATTCTGACTAACTTTTTCATAGCTTGTTCATGTGCTCATACTTTGAATTGTTTTTAGAACTGTAACTTAGGAAATTTGAACTTCCAGACTATTTCCTTATTGAATATGTTTAAGCATCTTGAAACTTCACTCGTAAAACCTGTTATTTTAGGGTTGTTCATCTGTTGATCTCCCCCCATTTAACAGGCCTGCTTTTCTAAGTCTGAAATGCATTATTTGAAGCAGAGTATCAGAACTTGAAAAATGAAGACCAAAATTTGTCTCCTTAAATCTTGGCAGTGATCTTCAGCTCTTGAAAGAACACAATAACTGCCATAAAGCACCCATGTGGGTCCAGATCTTCCTTCACAAAAGGGATAGTTGTAAATAGCTTTTCCCTAAGTATCTTCCAAGGTTCCAGCAATTGACCTTTAAGGGCCTTCCTGAAGCCAAGTTTCCGTAATTTGTTTATAAACCTCTGCTGATCTTATCTTATAGGATCTCATCTAATCTTTATTTGATCCTAATTATATTTACATCTTCTCTAACATTCAGTGACAAAAAGGTCCACAAATAATTTCTGAAGTGCAGGGAAAAACACAGGACTACTGTGCAAGATGAGAAACCAGAAAGTGAGACAACTGCAGGCAGTGTGGTTATATGACTCCTTCTCCCCTAATTCCAATGGCACTAGACATCCTCACAAGAATTAAGAGAGATGAGTTTATGCAGATAGAAAAAATGTCATGGGATTTTTCTTGCTGGTATATGGGTGATTGATATAGCAGCAGAAATCTTTTTGGAAAATATGTTTCATTAATAAGATCCGTAAATCTTCTTGTACATACTGAGAAAAAAATTAATGACAGCTACCAGAAATGAAAAATTTTGAATGTGTATTGAGAGAAGAACTTTAAAAACACCAAACAGACTTACTAGTGTTAGAGCAATATTGCACACAAGGAACAGCAGAAGGTCAGGTACTACTCCGGGTACTTTCCCAGCTGAGAACTATACAATACATGGGACACCACTTCTGCAGAGTGCAGATGCCTGACTGCATTTAACCATCATTTTGGTATTCTTAGGCATAAACTTGGTGAATCAGGTCTTTCCAGAGATCATCCAAGAAATATTCTTGTATTACTTCAACACAATGTCTTATTTCTTTTATAAATAATGTATTTTCAAAGTTATTCTACAGACAGCCATCAGGCAAGGTTCTTCTGAGTGTTAGAAACCACCTGAGAATTATGTTCTTTTGGGCAGTTCCCTTTTAGCACTTGCTGTACTAAAGACCAAATGGGACCAGGGACATGTTTTAGTGGCAATTGTGTTCTGCTGGCTCTGCTACGGTGTTAGGAAACTGACCTTACTTCTTTCACACACTCTTGTGTTCTCACTATTACATAGTAGACAAAAATGTCAATTGACGGGTTTGACTGTTGGAAACACATGGACACAGAGGCCACTCAGTTATGTCATATTTTGTCACCTCAATAGGAAGTTGTTTCTTGGTCAGTCTCATATAAAAGTAGAAATGGGTAAAGATCTATCAGATCACCTCCTTGATTCTTCTTAATGGCATAAGATTGTTTTCCCCCAGTCGGGCAATATATATCATCAGCAACAAAGCACAACAGTACAATTTTTTTTTACATAGCATGTAAGGAGCAACCCCAAAACAATCACTAATTGCCAAGGTGATTACCAGTCACTTAGCAAAGAAGCACTGTTATAAGTCTGGATCATGTTTTACTTCAACACCAGAAGCAGCAGCCTGTATCATGTCAAACTTTTTTAACCCACGGTTCCCACTTATTTCAGTGGGGTGTCTGCTTAAAAACATAACAACATAACATGAGTAGATGCTATTGTCTCACATGAAAACATGTAGCTACGGATAATGTGATACAAAAGTAGTTAATACTGGGAAAAAAATGAAAAAATATTTCCAAACACTTTTGGGGAACAAGCAGGTGTTATTGGATTGTCCCACATCAATCTTAGAAATGTTATCCAGCTTTTTCCCCAAGAGTGTCTTCAGATATATAGAGGTATATTTCTGTATTTACCTGGAAGAAGGAAGTAAGCTTTGGATAGCGGTGATAAATACAAGAACAATAAATGCACACACCAAGTTTGATTTGAACACTTCATCCCGCATTTGAGAATACTAGAATAAAATAAATAAATAGATAAATAAACAAAAACAAGGACAAAAAACAAAACAGAAGAATAAGTTAGCTGTTAACACATGAGTAGCTTCGTAAAGACTGATGCATATAGGGGTAGTTAGCAGAAAGAGCTAATAAATCAATAAACCTGAATTTGTTTCTAAAAATGAAACACAACAAACAAATCATTAATAAGCTGGTAAAATGCTTTCTTCAAGAGACCAGAGCTATGTAATTTGCAATACAAAGTTGTTTTACTTGGTTGCTTCTTTTTCCAAAATTATTTGCTTTGAAAATCCCCAGCTAGATATTAGTCCTTGGGCTGATGAGTAGAATACTAAATATTTAATAGCTTAACCAGAGGAACCATGAGTTTCCTCACCTGAACACTGCAGTCAGCTGCGACACTGCATGCATGATGTTTCAGAGTTTTCTCCATGTTTGCCAAACTGAAGACATTCCCTTTCTTCTTTTTTTTTTTTTTTAACTTTTCTTTTTAAAGGTAAGTATGTAGTTTGGGACATCTGTGACTATTTGCAATGTGAGTCATGATCTTTGTATCTTAACTCACCAGAGACTGTGCAGAAACTTGACAATATGGGCATTCTTCAAGAAGAAAATGAGGATATTATGTAAAAGACCATTCAGGTCCACTATTATTAACTGTAAAAGTAATTTTATCAAGAATATTAAACCACTGATGATGCTAGCAGGCTCCTCTTTTATAGGAGTTACCAAGAAAAGGAGTAACAGATACATCAGTGAATCACTGTTGATCAGTTGAAGCAGAAATGTTACCCAAGTCCTCAGCTGGTATTTATCATTGCTAATTCAGTAAACTGCATTTATTCACAGCAGATGAAGATTAGTCCATAAGCATGTTTTTAAAATCTCTTTATCCTATGCTGATGCCACTAAAGTTTCTTCACCTAATAAGAAAATCCCACAAATGCCTGTCCCAGTAGTTTTTCCTCCTCTGAACAATAACTCTGTTTTATTTAATCTCTTGCAAGTTCCCTTGTTTTGAGAGAACTAAGTTACCTGTGCAGAACAAAAGGAAACCAGAGTCAAAGGAAACCAGATATCAGATATCAGAATCTTTCTCCAACAGTTTGGAAATAAGGCACATTACAGTTATAAATGTCTAGAGGGCATTAGAATTGAGAAACATAAAAAAAAGAGTAAGAAATGTATCAGGAACATGCATTGAGCTTCAGCTATGAACTCTCGCATTACACAGCTAATCTGCTCTGGAAAGAAGACCCTATCTAGGCTTAGACTGTATTCACTACATGGATCTTTGGTAGGGACTTCATCTCAGTTATAAACATCTAGTCAGAACAATCTCAAGATCCTAAAATAGGAAAAAGGCTTTTCTCTTTCCAGCCACCTTTTGCTATAATTAAGAGAGGGACTTATTTGTTATTCAAAATGAGGTTCCCCAAAACACTACAGCATCAGTCTGCTTAAATAGTGGAACAGGGCTTTTTTTGGTTGTCACACAAAGAGAACCGAAGGAAAGAGAAAGGTATGTTCCTTAAAATATAACATGAAATCCAACTGTTCCTCAGGGAAATTAAAGCAAACTAATTGAATGAAAAACAAGAATGGAATTGCCTGTTGTGTTGAGCATTGTGTCAAAAGGATGAATGCTGTGGTCTAATAAGTAACAATGTTGTGATCAGAAATTGTTAGCATCTCTGCAGCAGCAGAAACAATGACAAATGCAGCACTTCTGTAGCAGTCTACCCCTTACTGACTTGGAGAAGTAAGAAGGGTAGGCTAAGCCTCAAGGTACTTCCATAAGTATGGGGAGGCATGTTGCCGACTGGAGCCCCATGGAGTGATAGGAAGAATCATGATATGAACTATTCTGCAATGAAGACCTTACCAGCAACATCTCTCAGACCTACCTGCACTGGCATGACTTTCTCATGGCATAATGAAGGCTCACCCTACTCGCCGATGGGGTTTGAACCATTTGCCTGCACTGTTGGGTGGACACTGACTCACCCAGCCAGCTACCTGAAACTGAGCTTGTGTAAGAAAGGCCAAGTTTCACCTGGCAAATAATGCCTCTCCTCTCTTTTCCCAGGGCTCTTTAAAAGGAGAGTACTGGTAATACAACAGGCCTTACATGTTCACCTATAGAAACATGTTCACCTTACATGTATGTGCTCTGGGGAGGAAGGTTTTTGATCTCATCCTCATTGCTGCTTTTTGACTCAGATAGGACCTTAAGGATGAAGAGGGACACCACTGGGCTTTTTTCTTCAGAACAACGTTGTTTGTGCCACTAGAAAAGCTTCTGCAGTACTGAGGAGGAACACAAGAAGATGTATTAGTAATCCTAAGGCAGGAGAAGAGGTGGATGAACTCCTGAGTAGACAAAGATTAGGCACAGATGCAGTTGTTGACCAGTCACAGAAAAGGTACTGAACAGGTTCATAGTTTCTGGGTTGAAGGAAGGAGGTGAGGCCCATGTCTACAAGGATGCAGCATGCAGGAGGGCAAAATTTGTTTCCTACTTATTTACTTTCTATACCTTTCACCCATCAGAAATTTGGAAACAAAGAAATTCAGATATTTGGGTCAAATATTTGACGTAAGAAAACCTGTACTATGAAATTCAAGTCCTTTTGATATTTTCAGTGTGCTCACCTGACAGGAGATATGTAGATAGACACCACCTCTATGCCCAGTTTGATTTATTACCCCAATACAAATATGCAGAAAGACTTAGAATATCTTTATTCAAATCTTTATGTTGGAAATTTTCCTTAACAAAAACCCTACCAAAATGTAAAATTCCCTTCCCTGTTACTATGCTTTATCCTATATGAAAGCACATGGTACTAATATTTCCAAGTCATTGCTATTAAGGTAGAGCATTATAATGATACATTTTCATTACTGAAAATCATCTAAATTGGTATCAGATTTTCCTTATGAGCTATTACATATTTGGAAACCTTTAGTGTATTTTCATGCTACCATTACAAGTAATCTCCTGTGATTAGTCTTTTCCTCTAACTTCCTACTTCCTATTTGTGAAAATAACCTCTAGCAAAACTGAGAGTGAATTAGTCTTTAAATGAGACTAAAAGTGCTAATGAGTGAAATACAGGTTAGTCATAACTAGTCCATTTGGGCAAAGAATCTATAAAATATACCAGATGGGGATCCTGCACAAATTACAAAATCTATGTGGAAATAGACATACTGCTTCAGGGACATAACCCATTCACTAAGGCAACCATTACTACTTGCTGTGGAATCTACATTTATGCTATCACCAAGCAGGACATAGGTGAATGAGTTTAGGAAGGAGCAGGAAGATGTACCAATGGCTTAAATGGCTTTGATATAGCAGTTGTAAACCATTGTAAGTCAGGAGATGCACCAGCTCCCATGGTAGTTTCGGGCGTGCTGATTCCAGATTTTATTTTCTTTTAACTTTTTGAAACCTTAAGCCTCACTGTCAGCATAAATCTGTTCTCTGCAATTGTTTTACAATGAAAAAAATCTTGAAACAACCCAGACTGCTTAAACAGAAGTCCAGTATGACATTTCAGATCTATTCAAGTCACCCCAAAAGATTTATGATCCCGCAGCATGGTTGTGCTGTTAATAAAGCTGAAGGAAGAAATATAGTTTATTGTTCTTAAGGTTACTCACTTCTCTGTGGTTTGAGGTGGAAAGCATCAACACAGTTCTCATAGAACAAGCGTAATACTTCATGATCAGAGTCTCAGCTATGGGTACTGGTTGTTCTGCCTACTGGGTAACTGTAAATCTGGGGCAAGAAGTACTTACAAGACAAAAGAAATAAGTATTAGGCAGATGCCAATGCTGTCTGAAAATGTGAAGGTTAAATGTGAGGGCACTAGATTTTATATGGGAGAAATCACTTCAGCCCTACCTCTGACTTGAAGCTGCCACTGGTGTGAACAGAAAGTGACCGGCAGCAAATGGAAACAGCAGTGTGAGGTGGGAGGTCCAGGGACATACGTTGCCTCCTTGCTTAGTAACGCTGCAGGGAGCAGCTCAAGATGCTGATGTAGAAGGTCATGTAAGCAGTTGCAAAATGTTAATGACTAGAAGAAAGCATAATTCCAGGCTGAAAGGTTAGGGATGGGTAGAGCAGAGAGAAAAGGCTTCTGAAATCGCTGTATGAGACTCCAGTTTAAATCTGAGTTTGCTTGGTTTGTTTCCTAAATGGGTAGGAAGAAGGGAGAAAGTGGTAGTAATAACAGATAACATGGAGGGAATAACTACTTTCTGTAAGAAAACAGTTCACACATCATTTTTTTCATGACTGCCTGCAGAGTGTGTTTTAACACCAAGTCTATCAGGGCAAACCTGTTATTACTGCACAGGTAAATGAGGTGGGAAGGGACATTTTCCCTGTTATCCCACAAGACATTGTTCCAGCCTATAACGAAGAGAACACTGTGATTCATCTTTCCTTAACCCACACAATCCCTTTGCCTCCTGGTGCACTCCCCATCCTTCTCTGAGCACACACCTCGTGCCCTGGCACCCTGAACTCAGCAACTGCTGACCAGCAACTATCCAACTGTTGGAAAAGGAAGAACCAGAGCAAGTAAAACAGTGCTGGTATTTTTTTTAAACTTTACTCCTATGTAATGCTAAAAAGCAGCATGATTTAGAGGACAGGAAGAAGATTTGGTCTACCTTCCGGAAAGGATTTTGTGTTTGTATTGCTTGTACTTACTGACTGGGACTAGAACCTAAGGAAATACTGAATGAAAGCACTACTTTCTAAGTCTTGTAGCACAGGCTGGCATTGGAAATGTCGTACTGAGAAGAATATGTTTCAAAAGTGCTGAGAATATTGACTTTTAAATAGACTTTTTGTCATCTAGATGCAATTGAAGATGTTATTAATATTTAAAATCTGACCTATGTAATGTGATGGATTAGAGGATAGGTTTTTTTTTTTTTCCTTGCTTGCTTAAATTTAATTTAATTAAAAACCTACCCTTTCCATGTAGATTTTCCTGGTCGCTGCTAATTGTGAAGTCTAAAATGAAGAGAAAGTTTATGTCCTGAACATAGGATCTGATTCTGGGCAGTGTCACTTTACTCCAGCCCATGTTCAGGCCTCATTTTATTCAACAGTAACATAAGGTTGGGTGAAGCACTGAATAGCTTGTTCATTCAGCAAGTTATTTATGACCAGGCTGTTTCAATTTGCACAAAAAAATTCTAATATCCTATCCCCCACCTTCTAGGCAAAATGCCACGTTGTCTAGTCTTTTTCACCTTATTTTATGACCGCGTGCCTTAAAAAGATTAAAGATTACTCATGACTTTTAGACCTTTAGATTGGATTCACAGAATATCAGAAATCTTGGATTTCACTTCCTCTGAGTCCCTGTCAGCTCTGCATGATGACTGCACTGAAAGCAATATCTTCGTATCTTCTGTTGCAGCAGTAGTGGCTAACTGGGCTTTGGGGATTCTACCTTGGGTCTCAGTATCATAAATATACCTTTGGGGAAATTGAATTTTTTTTTTTTTTTAACCCAAACCTTTTTTTTTCTTTCTGCAGGATTGATTGTGAAGTAAAAGCTTAGATGTATTTCAAACAGAACTTTTCTTTTCCATTGGTTTTTGTTAGGCTTTCACCACTGATACCACCTGAGGACTGGTCTCCCGTAAGTCAAGTAGAAAAGTCTATTAGCCAGTGGAGGTTAAAGTGATGATGAAGTAGTGGGCCTCTACACTTGCAATTCCGCATTACTTTTTTCAGTCTAAGTGCACATGCTGTCACTGCATTGTAATAGCATGCAAGTCTATGAAATAATTTGAGATCTGTGCAACCCCACCCCATGTCATCAATCTCCAATGAAAATTCTCCCACTGCCTTATCTTTTTTAACGTATAATTTACATCTGGATGTAGACTGAAATAGAAATTAGTGAGATCATGCTGCTGTTGAGAAACAGCAAAGACATGTACAATATTTACCTTTCTGAAGCAGATGTTAAAAAAAGGATGTTTAAAACAGATCTGACAAATTAGTTGTGACTTGAAATAAACATATCATCTGCCTAGAGGACATCAGATGGATCTTATGACTAAATGAAAGGAACATATCTATATAAATATAGATATATGTTTTGAATAGAAGTGTCAGTTTATTAATATCCTCAATCACCATTCGTGCCAAAGCAACCTGTCATGTGACAGAAAACTGCTTGTATTTGACAGCAAATGAAACCAGCAAACGGCTGTTGTTTTCAGAAGCAGAGTTTGCTCAGTGTAGGCATTTTCCAACAATGCAATGTAATCATTGCAGCATTATAACACCTGCATCATGACACTGTCTATTATGACCTCTAGCTCAGTCCCAACTTCTGAAAACTGAAACAAAATGGAAAAGAAACCCAGAAAACAAACAATGCAAGCTCTAACCTACAGCTTCTCTACTTCAGTGGACATTTATTACAATTTGAGTTGCGAATAATGCAGCTACCAAGACCCAGCTACCTTATGCTCCAGGCTGGAGTCTTTAAACATCAGTGAAAAAGGCTTGATATGCTCTCTTCTCAATTTATCGCCACTCCGTAAGTCGATGGTGTGCTCTATTCGCTTGTTAATTTCCTCAGGCCCAGACTGGACATGCAAAGCTTGTGCAAGATGGTTTGGAAGCAGATTTATTGAATTTCTTGTTAGGGCAGCCAGAGTCTAGGGGAAAGCACATGCAAACAGAATAAACCTGCTGGTCCCCTTGGGTTAAAAATGTAATGTTTTAGATCATGTTGCATTGCAAACCATTACAGCATTCCATGCAATTCATTCAATGAAATCTATAGAAGTGTAAAATAATAAGTCTGTTCCACTAAACACATACAGTACATTAAGGGGAGTAATTTAATGCTCTCTTTTATACAGACCAGGAGATTTGCTGCTGCACTGAACACTAGGAATATCTTCCCCTTTCCAGATTTTGCTAATTAATTATTAGAGCATGTATGAGGGGAGCACACACCAAATCACAGCAGGGTATCTAACTCAGTGGTGTGTTTTAGCATCTAAGAATGAAAGCTACAGAAAGCAGAAGTCACAAAACAGGAGTAATGATGTCTTTCTTGATCTTAAAGTTACTGGATGTGTGTAGTTAAGGAACAGATCCGTTAGGAAGGAGTGAAGAAGATGACACTTCTGATTAGTTCAGCATGGGTTTTCAAAGAATGTTCTTCACTACTAGTATATTTCAGGCAGTCTCTATTACAGTTAGACTATATGATTTAATTTAACTGTAATTCATATTATTATTTTTTAAATATTCTCTCAAATGCATGATTCCTTTGGTATTTCATTAACTACTTGGAAAAAAAAAAAGACTTCTGCATAGCTTTGCAAAGGAAAGCTAGCAGATACAGTACAGAGGGTGCTTCTCTTTCAGGAAAGAGGTAGAGTTTGCTTTCATAAAGAGAATAACTCAGTCATGGTATCATTTCATGACACAAAGCACAGTAAAGCAGTACTTTTACACTTGAATGGGAAAATAAACTCTACTACCTGTGATATTCCCAAGGGTTAAGAAATGTTAATGAATGGAAAGGATATAAACCTTCATACATCACAGCACAAGACATTTCAGAATTATTATGTACAAGAAATACACTTCTACTTGAGAAAAATAATTGCATAGGTCCTTGCTGGAAAGCTCTTCTGCTACATGTCCTACTGGGCATTGTTAGGAACAGGAGTTTGGGATTTATTTATCAATATATTCCTCTGGAAAGTCAATTCTTTTGGATCAAGGGATTATGTACGGCAATTGACACAGGGATATTTCCTTTGTTCATATTCAAAGTATAGTCAGCAATTACATTCTAATGAATCTTTTGGAGACCACATCAAAGCACAGGAAAGGTCTCAGGTACCCACTGTGAAACCTCAAGTGGCAACATTCTTTACAATCCTAAAATAAAGTCCAAGGACTCTGTAGTCACTAGTATCTTGTAATCGCATCTTCCATCTCTTGATGGAAGATTCCCAATATATTGGCAGAAAAGGATATCAGGACTGAAATCTTCTGTCTGTTGAAGTGAAAAGCAATCTTCCTGTTTGCCTTAGTTGAAAAAGGACTTCAGCAGAGAAGGTGTGGCAAATCACTCTACTAAAATCTCCCCATCTGCTCTCCAAAAAATCAGTATCATCAACATTTGAAAAAAAAAAAATATCAAGGAAACTTATCTCATACTCAAGTTCCAGATATGCCTGGATCCATATGTTAGGTTCAGAGTCAAAGTGGAAACTCTCAGATTAGAGTAAAATCTTCAGAAAACAAACCATTGAGTCAACTGGATAAATACTGAATTATTACACATTAAGGCACTACTTTAGTTTAGGTATTCCTGTCTCTCTTAAACTGAGATATGCAGAAAAGTTATTCTCCGTTTGTGGTGGCTGAAATCTCACAAGAGGATCTAAAGTCACTGTTAAAGGACAAGATCAAATCAAATGATTTTGTGTACATGAACTCCTCATAATTAGTTCGTATTGCTATATCTCCACTGGAAGTGAAGGTGAAGGTGGCCCCTAATATTTTAGTTTGGCACTGCATTTTATTTACATGAAGAGAATGATCTCAATTCACCTGAGTAAGTGACTAAATTTTTTCTTCAAATTATAGTTTAAAATTTCATTAATATGAAGAACTGTCTTTTTGCTGAATGTATGAAGTGGTTTACAATTCATGGTAGATGAACATGGCATATCACTACTATGGCAATGGTACCAGTAGTATTAGTGCAAAAAAGAACTCCAAAGTTGTATTTATTTTCAGAGGATAACATGGAAATTCATATTTGAGTTTAGTGGAGTCTTCTCTCCCTCCAACTCATATGCATAATTAAGAAAACTGCTTCCTTCTAATTATTAATAACAACAATGAAAAATATCATGCAAATTATTGTCCCAAGAATATTTTCTAACCACATTTTGTCTCTATACCACTCTCTTTGCTCTGCATCTTTTTAGACTGTGCTATGCTACGTAAAGAAGTATTGGTTCTACCTATCACCTCACCTACCCTTTCGTGAACAGCAGTATGGAAGGTACAGTTGTGAAACCTACAATGGGCTTTTGAACTTTCCTGATGCTGGCAATGGCCATTCATCATACAGGAACACACAGAAGATTTTTTTTGGAAAAAGCCCATCCAAACTTGCATCTGAGACTAAAAGATAAGATGAATTGAAACAAACACATACTAACCCTCCAACTTTAGAGATATTTTATAGAGATTTAGAAAAGGTAACTTGTATTAGATTTTACTTCCTTCCTGCAAAGTTTTCATGCAACAGGTCCAAGCACCCTGACCTCAAAAGAAAGGGAAATTTTTAATTGGTGCCATTTAGAAAAATCTAGAAAGACTTCCATTTATTTTTTTCATACTGCAAACACCAGGTCCTGGAGGGAAATAAGGAAATACAAGGTAACATGTTTAAAAAGACAGGATGCAGGTAAGATTTGGTTCAAAAGGAAGACACCTAAATGAAGGTGTCTGGGTGTTTGGTGTCTAAGCTTCTATTACTGGCAATATACACATTGGATACTTTCAGTTGCCCATTCATATTCAGCCATGACCAGCTGAGATGTCCTAGTGTAGCCTGGGTAGCTAGGAGATACGGCACAAGACCTACAGCAACCCCACACACTGCGGGTTGGTGGTAGGGACAAGCTGGCATGTGCTAGGGTAGCTCAAGCTGCAATAGACAGCCACAATTAAGAAGCCAAATCAAACTCTTACTCAGCATGTTTTGGCATAGGTGTGTAGTACTGTTAGAGACATCAGTCTCTTACCTGGCTTCTAACTGATAGTCCAGATGATGACAGGTCTTTTGTAGGCCCTTTGTCATATGGATGTCTCAGCCAACCTAGGCCACCACAAGTAGCACTAGGCCTTTAAGTTTAGCAGCTGAGCTGTGTGCGAGGTCAACATCTGTGACAGTCAGTGGAGACACAAAGAAATGCAGGTGCCTTGGTTTTGGACTGAATTCCACCCTGTTGTTTATACTTGTCTCTCATCTTGGCAGTCTAAGTATAATTTTTGTGATAACTGTTAAGAGTCATTGCAGTCACCACTAAAATATATTTATACAAGACACAAGCATTTTAATCTGCCTTTTTTTTTGTAATTCATGTCATTACAGGCCCATCGGGTGCCTTCAGCAGCACACACAGTGACCATATTGCACTTTCAGCTACTTATTCTGGAATGCCCAGAGAAGAAATCCAACTTCATCAGCTATTCATTTATTTTAGAGGAGGCCTTAGAATCATAGAATCCCAGAATAGTTTGTGTTGGAAGGGACTTTTAAAGGTCATCTAAGCTAACCTCCCAGTGATAAGCAGGTACATCGGCAACTGGATCAGGTTGCTCAGAGCCCCGTTCAGCTTGACCTTGACTGTTTCCAGGGATGGGGTAACTATCACCTCTCTGGGCAAATAGGCTCTCTTAACATAAAATAACTTCTCTCCAACTTTCTGTGCTTTAGAAAAGAAGTCAGGACACCTGTTGCATTAACAGACAACTCCACCTATATTGGGCATGGTCTGACTTTCAAAGCAGACACTTGCATCCTTGACTTACCTCACCATCAGAGCTAAGACATGTGGTGCTAACTGTGCTGTAGACACGCGTGACTATTGATGTCTGTGACTGCATACATGAAGCGTGGTTATTATGTTCCTCATTCATATCAACACAACTTCAATTCACTGTCTTAGGCTCCCATAGAAAACGAGTTTGAAGTAAAGAATATGGATTGTGATGAATTTGAGTTTGGCAAGAGAACTTGCCAGAGACTTTATAATTTCATATTCTTCCTAACATAACTATGGCTAGAAGTAAGACACATGATGAAAGTTGCTCCAGTTTTGTTGTACCTTATATTGGGTAAAGAAATAACTTAAATGCTGTTGGCAAATATTCAAACATACAGAGTGATTCATTGTTGGGTTGTTGCTACTTGTATTCTCAAACTCTGTTGCTGGCAGTGACCTTTAGGCTGATACTTAACATTATTAAATGCTTATTCTGTCTAAGGCTGAAACACCTCTGGAAGAAGCTACTGTATCCTAGTATAATTTAAATCTATCTTCTGAATTCTAAGTTGAAATACATTATATATGAGCAGCAACGCCTATTGTCTCAGCTTTAAAACTGAAAATTACATAACAATTGAATTACACATGGAATAGCAGATCTTTAAAATCTTGTCTCTACCAAAAAGATTATTATAAAGCTGTGTAATATAAAATTATAGTTATTTCCAGCACAAAACCAAGTTTTTAAAAAAACAGTGAGAAACTGCTCTAAAAATGGATTGTTTATTGCCATAAGACAAATATCTTCTTAAAAAGAACTCTTTACTTATGCCTATTTCAATGATATTCATGGGCTTTTTGCTAGTTTATTGGGTGGGTGTTGTTCAATAATTGAATAAAAACCCTAGTTCTTTATTTCATTCCTCCTATTTGTTAGCATCAAGGTCAGGTTTAGCTGTGTAAATGATCAACAAAATGATAGCTTACTCCACATAGATTTTTTTGGACTACAGAAATTGCAATGTTTTAAAGGGAAAGAAGAAAGAGAGAGATCAGAATTCACAGCAGCATGCACCCATGTGTCTATTCCTAATGAAATGAGAATATAGAGACAGGCCAACAAAATACAGAGAATACTAAAAGGCAGAGTACATGCAGATGCACAGATGTACAGAACACATATAAAACAGTTGTTTTATATAGCAGCAGACATTGCCATGCTCCAAGTTCAGTTTGAAGAGACAAAGACACCACCATGGGCTGATTGTGAAGGCTTATCACTTCTGAGAAGATTTGTAAGAAGCAGAAGACGGTTGACAAAGCAAGACCTCCACATAACAACACTCGAAGTTGAACAGACAATGCAGACAAGTAGGACTAAGGATGTGCGGCAGAAGAAAGGATATATCATGTCATTACAGATCCCTCAAAAGAATGGAAGAAAACTCCATCTGACCTTGTTTCAGAAGGACTCATCAAACTTTGAAGTGCAGTGAAGAGAGTGGTGTCTGAGGGCATTTTAGCCTTTCTATCTTTAATTCCTCTAAGCAAGCAGACTTCATAGGTGTTTTTTATGACTGTACAAGGATTGCTGATTCTCCGGGTGCCAGAAATTAGCCATGCAATGCTTTTGGAGAAGATCTGATCAGGAACAGTTGTTATTACATCACACTTCTATTGAGCTACATATGACCTTAGAGGCTAACTCACCTACTGCTGAA